TCAATTGATGTATTTGCTTCCCAGTTTTACAACTCTCCCGAGGCCAGACACAACATTTAACTTCAGGTTTAATCACATCACAAGCCACATTAAGGTAGACTCACATTATCCCTGTTAGCACGGAACTTATTTTGGTGTTCAGATATTACATCAGTTAAGTGCTAACTTCGGTACATGTGTGCAACTCCAATTGAATTATCAGCATAAATTTATGCTTAAATATCAGTATCTCATGGTGGGAGTCTGAATTTACGCCAAAATGAGTTTCCTAATTTACGTGTTTTTAAAATGGCAGTCAAGAATCAATTTGCCCTATATTATTCGGGGTAAGATCACGAATTAGTAGACAACAAACTACCTTTTTTAGACACGAAAGGTTCTGGATCGCGTTCCAAGCCCTACCAACTTCATTATGGTGAGTAATTCCAGTAGTTTAGAATTTGATAACATGAAGTGGGTTTTCAGTAAATGAATTAGAATTTTAAACAAATTGGTTTAGTTACCCTAACCATTGGGTATCTCATATATCAGCTCATTAATAACTGTTAGGAGGTAGGGGGTAGTAGCTGCCAGGTTTCATTTTTCGTTTGACAGGTAGGCATTTTAAGATTGTATCAGCTGACAGTCTTCGAATCAGTGGTCACAAATCTTTTTACTCTGTTTCACTAGTAAAGGGGAAGTGTATGGGCTTCCTCATTTCAGGCTCTACTTCTGTTTTTCCGAATGCGTTAAACAGGAGTTGTAAAGGCCCTAGGAAGAGAACTTTAAGAACATTAAAAGTGCGCTTATTGACATAATTGAGAAATATTGAAACACCGAGAATGTATTTGAGGACACAAACTTATCTAGCATCGGCCATGCTTTCGAAAGTTGTGTTCATGAGGAAATACGTTCTATGGAAGAAAGTTTGGTAGTGGAACTGTTAGTTAGACAAAATTTCGAAAATTACATCGAAAAAATTAATGCTCCTTCTTTTTTCTGCAGCCCCTTCTCATGGTAAGTTCATCGTCAAAATGGCAAAATGGCGTTCTGCACTGCCTTTCTGTTTAAGGAATTTCCGAGTTACTTTTGAAGTGTGACTAAGAATAACGGTTTATTTTATGGAGTTTTCACTTATACATTTGATAGGCTACAGAGATAGCCCCTTGTGTCGAAGCTTGTTTTAGTGTAGCCCGTACATGCAGCAAATTAATGCGTTTACAATTTTGCTCATTAGCTGAACGCCCCCATGGCCGAAGTTCAAGAGAAAAGGGACGAGGTAAATCCGCTTTCCAAGATGCTGTTTTTAAATGTGAAAAAGTAGTTCTCGCGAAAAATGTTAACCTACTACGTTGTTCTAGGTTGGCAGCGCAGCAAATCCACTGTGTATGACTACGGATCGGAGCTTTACTGTGAGTTTTCAAAATTCCGCATTAGGTTCTTTTGAGTTTGCATAACTTTGGAGCAACTAGCAGTTGTTTTTGCCCAAATTAATTCACTGTACATTAGAACGGCAGGTTATGGAATCCTTGTTTGAGCTAAGTGTATCCGTTACACTTTCACGATGCAAGTATTTAGAGAGTCTACGGAACCTGGACCTCGTTGCTCCCAAGATAGTGCCGGAAAAGTCGGTAGCACCTCAAAGGTGTTGAGTGTTTTGACCACTTGAGGCATTTGCAATCAGCGACCAATGAAAGTGGATTAGAAAGCAGTGGAATAAATTCGACGATAATTGTCACCTCGCAAAGTGATCGTGCTCCATGAGGGCACATCTTTAGCAACTAGTCAACAATAACTAAAGTTTGCATGGGATGCGGTGACGAATTTTGTGTCTTATAGTCCTGACCTAGCAGCTTTGGATTAACGGCTAATTGTATTAGAAATCGACTTGATTTCACGCTACAAAACTGACTCGATACCCTTCAACTCATTAACTGATGACAAAACGCTTGAAATGATTACAAAATAATCGCTGCTGAAATCTAAAATTGACCTTTTTTACCTCCTAGTTGGTGAAGATCGTGCTTTGCACCGCTATGGCCGCAGAGGTAACGTATGGGTGCAGTGTTTTCCTTCCATTGAGATTCGAAAAATAACACATTAAAAAGTCCTGGCATTCAAAGGGTCTCAAAATACCTAATTTTAAAGCATCCACGTGCATTAAACGTTCCTGGTTAGCAACGATCATTGAAGCATTGGCATCCGAGTAACAAATGTTGAAGTCGAAGACAATGCCCTGTTTGTCTACACCAGTTAAATTTGTCGAGAGCCTGGAAGGAGGCATCAGATGCCATTTTGGTGTTGAAATTTACTATGGAATGGTTTGATTTTTGCTCATGTGCTTGCAAATAACATAGAACTGCTAAGAAATATTATGTTGCAGTGAATGGCCTAAAATACGAATAGATAAGTTATAGGTGACCTGGCTTAGGCATTACTTTTGACGCAATTATGTGCAATTCTAAGGCAATTTTGCTATAGGTCAACTGGTTGGCTTGAATCAATAACAAATCCCCCCTAAGGGTTTCCTTAACGATTATTCATATAAACCGAGTTTCTCTGCATTATAGCGCAGTCGTCAATGAGTGAAAGGCGAACTTATAAGAATAGCAATTCCGAGGAATTTGGTGAGTTGCCAAGTGAAGGTGGCATTTTTAGTTAAATAATCGAGTGTTTGCGGTGCTAACTTTGCACATTTTTCTGTTTTCAGAATGCCCAGCGCAAAGTAAGTCCCCGTGTGCTTTGTTGCCTTGGTAAAATTAAGCACAAATTCTCTAAATTGATTGCGCCAAGGTTAATTACCTGCCACAAAGAAGGTGAGCGTAGGCGAAGTGTTTTGAGAAGGGGTGCTAGGGGCCGGATTTAATTGCCAAGGAAAAGCTCGATCACACCAATTGGGGGAAACAACGTTCTCACCTTTTAGATCCTCCATTTCATTGATGCTTCACGATCAGTCCTTGAAAATACACACCTGAAAATTAGCCAAATATATCTTAGCGTTGAATTAAACAGTAACGTAAACATTGCTTTCAGCTAAACTAGACAATATCCCATTGGCTAACGACCACGTTTAGGAAATGTAATAGTGTGCTAACAAATCTAGGATCGCATTACAATCAATTGGTAAAATGATGTTTGAATTGGATTAAGGTGGCAATTTCTAGCAAATTAAATGACCAAAATATGACATTAAAACCCTAATTTGATGGGTTCTACCTTTCCAACTGAAATACCTAGTTCCACTTTAGCCAATACGTTACAGCCATGGGAGTCGTCTTATCGTCAGATGTGACCAACCATTTTAAATATTTGTGCAGTGTTAACGGGCATAACTATTTAATTGCATGCAAATTAATCAGCAAAGGTTTTGTCAATTTAAATTTCGTTATTCAAGAATACTATCGATGGGGTTTGTAAAAAATTGACTGAAATTAAATTCACATAAAAGCATCTTTGCAAGTCAAACCTAAGAGTGTTTAATTGCGTTTCTGTGTTGAGTGAAGTTAAAAACAGTACAGACGCATCATCTGCATCTATCAGTAAGCAGGTTGCATATAATTTATTTTTTCCAACATTAATCGGGTTGCTAAAAGATAGGCCTGAGCCTTGTAACATTTCAGCATTTTACTAAAGGTCGAAATTAAATGGCAATGGCATTCAAACGAAGTTTTAGGTAAAGTGAAGCTCCAGAACAGCGTGATTTTACCTTATCAACGCTTTTCCCTATTTCAGAACAGCCAAAACGACGTGCCTCTGTTGAAGCCCATATCCGGGCCACACGATCGTCTTCAGGTACGTATTTCTTGTAATTAAAAATATCGTCCCTGTGAGGCGTCAATCCTCGGTTTTTTAGTACTAACCTGGTTACTGTGTTCACTCTCATTCAAATACATACTTAGCACGGACTTGATTTGGATTGCTTAATGTATTGCCAATCCTACTTTCAAGACAGACAGATGACAAACTGACACTTAGTGAGCGCGAATGGTTTACATGAATTTTGACTTTGTAGATAGGACGAAACCCAAGAACCCTATCGGTCCGCCCATTCAAAAGCGCATGCAGACTGTTCGCCCAGACTGTAAGTTCTCGAGATCTCATTTATTGAGTATCTCACTTGTTTGTACTTTTGCCGCCTTTAAATAGGTCACCCAGGGAGGCATGCGAAGAATGGCAGTTTGGGTTGGGGAAAATGGGGGAATTGTAGCCGGTGGGCCTATGAAGACCATGAGGGTGCACTTTTTAGGGCAACAGTCAAAGGATAATTGAACTAAAAATATTTCACAACTTATTCTGGCTGTTTATTAATCTAAAATCCAAACTAGTTACAGCCATTTCAGACCAAATCGATTGGTGCAAGAAATGCTTAGTTGAACCTGACCGAATCCTGCTTTACTTTGAGTGCTTCCAAATGGCTACATAATGCAAATGTTCATTAACTCGTAGCGGCTTCGTTAACACTACCTTACAGCCCTGCTAGTTGAGAGCCCATAACAACCCTAGAAGAAAGGCGAGACAGTGGTAACTAATACAACGGTTTTTACATTAGACCACCCAAGTCTTTCATAGCACAGCGCGAGAGAGCATCTCGAACGTCAACTGTAATCGACAATCGTGAATACGCGCCACTCAAGCTCGTTTAATGAAAGTTCACAACAAGCTTGCAGGACACAAAGAGATCGGTCACTAAATCACTTTTAAAATTCCTCATTTCTTAAAACTGTACACTTTTCAAAAAAAATTGCGTAAATTTGACGTGAATATTGTCCTATTTTAGCTGCCAGAGAGTGCATCACTCCAAACAAGGCTTTGACCGGATGGGCCCAGGCTGGTATGTATCACTCAATTGCCATGGTTATTAAAATTCAAACAGTTAAACCTTGGCTAAACATGACTCATGTCATATTTTACTCACATTAGACAAGGATTTGACCTTCCAGAAGGTGAATATCGAGAACAAAGAAGGACCGCAAGCCAGTAAGAAACATTATATCACCTTTTTAATTGTCAAAATACTTTATTAACTATAATTTTATGTCTCTTTCAGGGCCATACACTCCAAAATATGACCCACCTGGTGCTGATGTCATTCAATTTCCATGTAAGTTGAAAACGATGTATTTTAAACTCTCTGTAAAAATTAAAGTTATACTAATAGCAACGATAATAGTACCGTAGGGGACATTTGCTAAAGGTTTTTTTCCGCAAATTTTGTACCTTTAGCGATTGAACCTGAAACTGAAAGGAAATACGAATGCCGCCAGCGTCGAATGGACATGCTAATTTACACAGGTGCATTTTATTTTATTTGCGAACCTCCATTACAAACTCAAGTAATCTTTGCTGAAGATCCCACCAATGTGGTGAATTTGCTATTCACGAAAAGCCTTCTGTGTGCATTAAAAAAAAACAAAATTTTTGGCTGATTTTAATGGTGCTGCCTGGGGCACCATTGGGGACTGAGCGCATTGATATCGTTCTAATCAGTTGTCTTTTTGTAATGAATGCATCAGAGTTGCCGTTTCTCTTGACATTAGTCGCTGTTCTGATGGGCAGCATATTAAAATCTCAACCCCGGGTTATTTATACACCCACCATTTGCCCGATAATAAACTTGTCTAACTTGTAATTATTTTTTTTTCTTTTACAAGGACTCTTCAAAGAACGCTATCCGGTGGGTAATTTCTCAGTTTACTAAATTTCACATTTTTTGCATTATTAATTTATTTAAATGACGTTAATCCAATTTTTAGGCTTTCGGCGACAAAGGAGGTACGTTTAATAATGTGTCTGTGGTTTAAGAAATAAATCAAGCGGAAGCTAGCAGTAATTGGCTAATTTGTGTTTGCAAAACTAAAGATGAAAAGGTGTGGACTTAAGGGCGATCGGAGGCTGTAAGTGTTGAGCACCACTTGCAAGCACGTAACTTCGAGACAAGATGAGCAAATGGAATTTATGTTTAATGTAAATACAGTGATGAATCTCTCGTAGTCACCGAAGTAATGCAAGTACTTGAATTTTTTAGGACAATTTTAAATCAACCGCAAATTAAGTGCTTGCGCTTACCCGCTTTTCACTTTTTAGGGTTTCCGTTTGAAGATGATGGCGAGCCTTATCCTAACACTAGCACTCTGCCGATATCACCGAAATCCTCTGCTAGCAAGTTTTTGAGCGAGATCCGTCTGGAACTGGAGAGTTTCGAAGTACCGGAGAACCGAATAATGAAAGGGCGCATCTGTTTCGATTTAATGGAGCCAATTACAGTCGATTCTATTGAATTCGATATCAACAAGACCCTTGTTATGGTCACCAAAGACGGGAAAGTCATAACAGTAAGATGACTGAGCCATACATTTCTTTTATCGTCTTGCTACCTTCAAGATTAGGAAAAGTTATTAACCTCCATGCATTAGATATCCATCAATGGAGGGTTATGACGCCCTCCTCTCTTATTCACCGTGCAAAATCCAGAAATCGGCTTAAATGGCCATCTCTCAAGGTCTAAAAGGATGACACTATCACATGTTTCGTAAACATAGCAAAAAGGTGGCTGATGGCACACAGAGATGTCTCGACAACAGCAAGTGCTGCAATTCAGCCATTAGGAACAAATCAGAGTTTGTCCATTCCTTCAAATTTACAATTCGAAAGCCCATTCCCAGGTAAAGAACTTGTCAAGGGCCAAACCAATCGCTTGTTCAAACTGGTATATAATTGGGTGTGCATCGTAACTTGTAAACTGTGTTTACTAACAGTTATAGTTAGTGGGACAATGTTCATCCATTCATAGTGAAAACGAATAAGGTAACAATTCTTTGTTAGTAAGGTGATAATCCAGATGTAAATGAATACTTATCTCGATGCAATAATGCGGTCAGACAGCCACATTAGGTCACCATTTGGTGGCTGTAGGCTCCAATTGCAAATATTCAAACCTTAAGCGATCGTCAGACTCAACAAGGCCTCGGATCTCAGGCGTTGTGCTCGCCACAGAAGATAGACCGTAATCATATTGTTGAATAACCAAAGAAGGAGAACGTTGGAGCCCACCTGACTTGCCCCCATCAGAACACCTGAGTGCACAATGTCTTGTGCAAACAAAATATTGTCACCAGCTGGTGTTATACAGTTAGCCAGAAAGAGGAGCGAAGATTGCTCTTGGGGACTTGCGGTGCAGTTGACGGAGGCAAATTAAATTTGATGCTGTCCACGTTTTAAAGACTCCTCTGCTCTCACTTCAAAGTGTCAGTCACGTTTGATTACTTTTCGCATTGATGCACTCCGGAAAATTTCCAGTTTCATAGAGCTGTAATTTTGGATACGGAATTTCTTTTCGCAGATGAAATTACTCGATTTTTCTGTTTACTTAGCCTCGAAAGGACGCAAGTGCTTCTGTGACAAAATTGAAATTACTTCCCAGCCGCCAACCCAAGCCATATATTCCTGAACTAGCGACACCTGAAGAGATCGACGAGAACGAAGGAAAAACTCGCCCGCCGTATGACTTTGTCTTGCCCAACACATACCGGAAGACAGTTGGTCTGAACCTTGACCGAAAATGCATACCATTTGAAATCTACATCCCAGAGAACATCGTCCCCTCCTTCAGTTACGTTGCTCCCAATGGAGGCAGTGTGGTGAATAAGTAAGTCACGTAAAATTGACATTATCACAGAAGCTAGGGCGGCTGACTGGTGTGGGAATGTTTTAACGCCCTTATTGTGGAAATCATGCTGGATGCATGGTTATCTCAATAAGTGTACATCGATCTTAACACAGATGTTGTGGACGTAGTTACTACGTGGTTCTTAAGGTGGATCAGTAAACGTGAAATCGGCTACAGTGGGAATTTTGAAGTGAAAAATTTACAGCCAGACACACGCGTTGTTGTTAATTATTTAAGTCCAGAATCGCCTCGTAATCATCGTAGTCACTTTAAGGAGGAGATTTACTGACTTGAGAAAAAACGTAAAATATGCAGCTTTTAAAAGCAAGCAGTAGTATGCAATGATGCACCATGTCGCGCATAGGTCTGGAGGGACAAATCAATGATAACATGACGTTTCTGTTTCGAAGTCACCAATGGAGGTTTTTCTATAATTTCCTTGCAGCTACTCCGTCGAAGCCACAGTTCGTACATGTGGTTCGACTGAGAGGGTTGGTCTTGTGCCAATTACCGTTCCCGCCTTGGGCAAAGAAAGTGATCCTGGGTACGGTCTTGGGGATGATCTTGAAGTTGTGGTGAGTCATTTGATCTTTTGCGCAAACCGTATGGCATTTCCTTATCACTGGCACCGTGAGTTTTGTTGAAGTGGAAGAGAATGAATGGAACCGTTCGGTTATGCTCTATCACAATGGCCCTAGCTCAATCTTACTTCCATAAGACATCTAACATCCCGAAAGTGTATGTGACTATCACAGTAATCTGCGTCTGATAACAAAAAGATTGTAAGAAGATTAAATAGTGTCCTGTACTACTCTAACTTTTGGCAGTAGTTTTATGTATGGATGTTTTCGTTATATCCAATTAATTAACTCATTAGCATTATCAAACGAAACTGGACAAATATGCACTGGTATGCGCACACGCGTTTGTTTCGGGATCACTAAAGACTACAATTCTTTGGTTTGTTGCAAAACTAGATGCCAAATAGATGCTTTACAAATCAAGAAGGTTTCGACTACGCGGTTGGATGGATCGACGGTGACGCGAATACTCCGAAACCAAAATCTATCTCGGCAAAAGTCATTCAGATAGTCAAATGCTCTGCGATCGGCGCTGATTCATCCGTCACCCATGAATTGGGCTCAGTTAATATGGCCAGCGGCGATAGCAACTCCGTGTTTGATCAGTACAAACTGAACCCAAAGAGCAAGACCGCGAAGGATAATTGGGGCGCCAACGCATCGTCTCAAGACAACACTACCCAGTTCACCACACCCAGTGTCTCAACTGAAGGTTTCACCTGCGATTACATACTTGAGGTAAATGTTCATGATTGTTTGGAAAAAGCACGATTGTCCAATTTGTTACACCGTCCGGCAATTCAACTTTCAAAAATTATGAAATGTTGAGATTTGTGCACTTCATATCGACGGGCAGACTTAAAGGCAAACTTAGTTAAAAAGAAACGTTGCAAGGTAAATTTGCGCAGTTGTGATGGAACCACAAAACAGACTAACGAAACGGCTCTAGACTGCGAAATTGCCAAAGACGATTCATAAAACAGTAAAGATAATAAACAGCGATGAATATCTCCTATCTGTCTCCCTACAGACCCTTTGCCTGCTGCAAACTATGTCACGTTCGAAATTTGAGGCGTGCTAATTTGTGATTGTTGGTCTCAAACTTGGGGGACCTTTACAACAAAGAGCATTCTGTTAACCAAACAAAAGTGGCTATGGTCGCGCTGTTTCACCACAATGGCTTTTTGCACTAATTTCCTGTGCTTGTGGATGACACGTACTTTATGTTTTGCTTCGCGTTTCTATTTTAGGTTGAAGCAGATTCCAAAACCTTCAGTGGAGCTGTCATACTCTGCGACCGACTTAGCAAGAACGACTTACAGCGAAACGATTTAAGTCCCATTTCCAGGAGGAACGACTTCAGACTGAAGCGTTGAGGCGACGAAGTGATGGCAATGACTCTGTGAACTGTGTTCTCAAAAATCCAATCTATTTGCGCTCTAGTTATTTTCGCACTTGTGCCATCTATTTTTTTGCTAATTCTGCACACTACTCATTACAGGTCTAAAATCGTGGATTTGGTGTTTTGTAATCACTAACTGCTCTCATTTTTAGCTCACCACTAAGGGGCAGTTTTTGGGAAAAATTCAGTTCCTATTTAACCCGGTGGGACATGCAAAGATCTCCCAGGCATTTAGTTAAGATTGTGTCAAATGACGGTCCACTGATGCACAAAAATGTTAATTATGTGTAGATTTTATCGAATGAAGTTTGCGTTTTTAAACTACTAAAATAAATTGGATTATTCATTTGACAATAAAGAGAGGACTTTTAAAAGCAGACAAAATAGAAGTTGGCTCATTAATTAGTCCCGAATCGTGGGGATTTCTGCAAAAGTCATTAATTTAAACAAGATTTATTTGCCAAAGGCTAACAGGATACACATGTCACGTTACTACACACGTCCACGTTTGGAGATTTGGCCCACACTCCATTGAAAGCCAAGAGTACTACTTAGATCTAAAATGAGTAGAATTGCGTCACTGCAAGACACCTTGAATATGGAATGTTGTGATTATGAGTCAAACAAAGAGTTGTTCGTGACTTGAGGGTCTAAGATCATTTCCTCATTAGGCTAACAGTGGTAGCAGTCTAATCGCAGTGCTACGACGGTGACACTAATTTAACGTGTAGAGATAACATCCAATGTATTTAATCATATTGGACAATAGGAAGGATGGTAAACCCCTTCTTAAGGGAAGAAATGATAGACAGCATTACTTCAAGACACTGCTTTGGGAATGCAGGACACTGCACTCTCAATACATCATTAATAAAATCCTTTCTTGGTACATTTAAATAAGTAGCAAGACTCAGAATTAAAAGAAAGAGTAACGGCGCCTTCAAGAGTAATTCATTAGGGATATTCTCAATAAACGCAACCTAATAGCACAAATGGGAAGTGAGAACTCTTGGAATCATAAGAGGTAAGTAACATGCTACGTCGAGTGAAAACACTCGGTATTCGTGGGCTTGATTGCCCTTTTAAACAAATATGTCCTTTTGTGGTTGTTTTGCAAAGGAAAGAAGAGAGCGATGTGCTCTTCTGATAACAAATATATTCAAAATCCAATGATATTTAATTAAACTCAGTGGACATGATAATTTTTTTGCACGTGATGGAATAAGGGCTATCAGAGTGTATCCTGCTATCAACCCAGTGCAAGGCTTGTGTGTAACTCCATGCTGATTCAGGAGCATCAACTCAACCGTCACATACTACTACACGCAGCACTCTTTTTACACCTAACTGTCAGTCATAACAAGGTTAAGCTAACTAGTAAATGTTAGTCTCCCCCAATCTGATGTACATCGTCCTGGGTATTCGTGTAGAGCAAGCAAGCTAATACGATGCAGTAGCTCCAGTGTGGTTCCAGATGGCGTCGGATAAAAAACGATAAAAACTTCATCCGATTTCTTCAACTCACATTGACTCATTTTTACCCATCAATTGACGACCACTATGTAGTGCTTTCATTTAAACTTCATCATTAACAGAATATATGGCGGCTTCGTTTTTTGGTTTTTTAGGTAGAATTCGAAGGAAATAAACATTGAATTCCAGCATTTAGGAGAGAACACACGTTGAAGGTTGTGTCATTGTATCAGAAAATTCCTGATTCCGAACAAAACAGTCCTTGTCACCATAAGCATTGATTGCTCTAAACGCCAGTTTCTTAACGGCCTGAGGAGAAAAAATGTCGAAGGTTTCAGGACTTCCGTAAGGCGAATTATTCAATCGGAAAGTTAAGAGAATACAGGGCTAAATTGTAGTAAGCGTCGCATTGATTTGATTTTGACACTTGAGACTCTTGAGCGTCAGGAAGCGATGAGCCAGTTTAGTCCTGCGATGGTCTGTTCCGCACAAGGAACAATAATTCGTTCGCCTCCATCGCCTAATTAACATAAACAGTGACATGTCCATTTTTATTACCGATTTACTTGCAGCGAACATTTTTTATCACTACAGAGCCCTTCGATACTTGGCGACCAAAATATGTTATCAACTGGGGGGGGGGGGCTGTTAGTCAACATTAACTGAGGGCATGATGGGAGTCCATGCGAAAAAGTCATGTTTCTTGCTATGAATGCATTTGTCGTCATTACCATTTCGATTAATGATACAGCAGTAACTTTCACCTTTCCGACAGTGCAGAAAGTGTGAAAACGGCCCAACCACGACTTCGTCGTAGTGTACGGTAAACAAAGTCAAATCCAATTGTGCGGAGTTGCTTCTCAAAATCAGGACGTGCAAGAGTCTCCAGTGTCGGGAAGCAGTAGGCTGATTTGGTCTCCGCAAACTGCATCTTCTTGCCGTACTGTTCACTTAGTGCAAC